GATGTGTCATTATACAGAGTGTAGTACCTGAATGAATGTATGGTTGGAACAGTCTTTTTTCCCCATTAAGCCAGTAACTGTTGATTCTTTGTCATAGAGCTGATGATTATCCTTATTATAAAGGTGCAATTCCACACCGTCTATATCATAAGACATCAACTGTCAAAGTAAACTTCTGACTTCCTGAAACAAACCTACACTGCAGACTTTGTTTGCTGGTGCTTCTAGGTGTTTGCTGAGCTCTTTGACCCTGTCATCAAAGACAGACATAATGGCTATGACCCCAAAGTCATGAAACATCCTACTGACCTGGATGCCTCCAAGGTTAGACCATAGCTTCTTGCCACTATAATTTCAGTGCATCCATATTCGATTTCTACACGTATGAAACACTTGTCTTTGCCTTTGTCCTTTCCAGATAACCCATGGCATGTTTGATGAGAATTATGTTCTGTCATCCCGGGTGCGTACTGGCCGTAGTATCCGTGGGCTTAGCCTCCCCCCAGCCTGTTCGAGGGCTGAGCGCCGTGAGGTGGAGCGGGTAGTAGTGACAGCCCTAGCTGGCCTTAAAGGAGACCTGGCTGGACACTACTACAGCCTAGGAGACATGACGGAAAAGGAGCAGCAGCAACTTATTGATGTCAGTTAATCATTTCAGAGAAATGTATACGCTTTCCTTTACATTTAAACTTATGATTTAATGTTATTTTTAATTATTATTTTGTGTGAATGGTAAATTTAAAAATGGTAAATATAGAGATTTATGGGGTGGATGTTTCTTTGGCACCCAGCACTTTGTTGGGTATCCGTTTAGCTTACTGGTTAAACAGGCACCATATGCCTTACAGCTGAAATGCAGTGGCTTGATTTCAGTCTAACCTGCAGCCCCTTGCTTATGTCTTCTCCTTCTCTTTCTCGCCCTCTTTCCTGTCTACTCTTCACTGCTGAACTGCCAGATAAGGACAAAAATAAATCTTAACAAAATATGTTGCTTAAATAGAGTTTAAAACTTTCCAAACTGAAATAAGGCTTTCAACAGAAGGTGAAGAAACAGCAGCTGTGGCTTTATGTTCAGGTCATCTGCAGGGATATCAACTGACAGTGAAATGGGATAAGCTGTACTCTTGCATAATACCACTTTGAACCACAAGATGGTGCAGCAACCCCGTGTAGCTTCTGTTTTTTAAATCCATTTTTTAAAAACTAATCTCATTCCAGCCTCAACAATACCTATTAAAAAAGACCAATGCCCTTTTATATGACTCTTTGAAATCTTTTCATTACCAAATTGTAAAGAAGTCTTTCTTCCCTTTAAAATCTAAAAATCTACATCTCTTTCCTTCTTGATCCTCCCTTAACCATTCCCACCTGTAGGATCACTTCTTATTTGACAAGCCTGTCTCTCCACTGTTGACATGTGCCTTTATGGCCAGAGACTGGCCAGATGCCAGGGGGATCTGGTATGGTCTATTCAGTTCTTGTGCATGTCCGCTGCTGTGTGACCATGTATGAGTTATTATTGTGCCTGTTCCTGGAAACTGAGCCACTAAAACAGCAGGAAGTTTGATGCTGTGTTTTCCATTTGGTGTGCATAGCTTTTTATAAACGCATGTTTTTGCACAGACGACAAGTGTGAATATCAAAGTGCCTCGTGTCATGAGTCATCAGCAGTAATGAAAGACGAGTAGTTTTCTTGTTTTCTTTTCCTCAGGCACAACAATGATAAGACCTTCCTGATCTGGGTGAATGAGGAGGACCACACCAGAGTTATCTCCATGGAGAAGGGCGGCAACATGAAGAGAGTGTTTGAGAGATTTTGCAACGGACTCAAACAGGTACAGTGGAGTGTGATGTCAAACAGAGTAAAGGGATATCATTTTGATAATTAGCCAGTCTTTTTTGTGGCTGCTAATGTTGCTGAGTTGTATCAGGCTGAAATATCTCAATTATTACTCAATTTATAAACATTCGTGTTTATACACGAATTGTGTCAAATTTCATATTTGACACATCTTCATTTCAGTCATCAAAAAGGATTATTCTTGGTGACACATTAAATCCACTGTGAGGTGCAAACTCAGCTGTTGTAACTCTGTTTGGCCACTGGTTTAAAAAAAATAAATGCATCACACTCCCAAACTGTATATAAAAGATGGGCAAAGCCACCATGCCATTCCTGACAGGTTTTGATAACGTTTCAGCATTTTAGTCATTGTCATGTTGTTTTTGGGGACCAAAAGAAACCATATTTGGACAAGAGGGTAGAACTTATTAGCTAGTACTACCTAGCTCGATTAGCAGGTTGGATCTATTAACTATTCAAAGACATATACCTGTTAAGTAGCAGACTTATAAAATACTAGAATTTCACTCACCAAAATTATGTGCATTGGCTTGATTATGAGCCAGGCTCCAGTGGCCACTAGAGGAACTGCATTTCATTAATTTAGCTATGTTACTTCACATGTCAGCACTATCCAATTTTGGTCATTTGGGGCATCTGAAAACAAGTGTCATAATTCTGAGTCTTTGATCCAGCACTTTGAGTGTTTTAAAATTCTGTTTATTAATAAATAATTTCTGTTTGATGACTAGTTTACTTACAGTCTACGTTTGAAAAAGGGAACAAATGTTATATATTATCTATCCTGACTCATAATAAAAGAAAACTGCATTTATTTCATTATGTACTTATTTTGTTAACATGAAAACTCCTCAAATTTCAAACTTCTCAGCTCTCAACTAAAGCGCTGCAAAAAGTGATTATCTTGCTCAACTATTATGTATAGATAAAATGTGATTGGGCAACCATGAACATACTGTTTACAGGTGGAGCACCTGATCCAGGAGAGAGGGTGGGAATTCATGTGGAATGAACGTCTGGGATACGTCCTCACATGTCCGTCCAACCTGGGCACCGGCCTCAGGGCGGGTGTCCATGTACGCCTGCCAAAACTAAGCAAGGTAATATAATGACACTATAACACTATAATTTTAAGTTCTGTTCACTTTTATTTAAATATTTTCAATTTACGACAGCAGTTGTCTCATGGGACTTCTGTCAGCACCAGCTGACAGAAGCTAATTTTTAAAGGTTTCTATAATCCAAATTCTTCCTCATGATCTCATCTAGAATTTTTTTTAAATCCCCCAAAAAACCCAACTTCTATTCATGTTATTATTTCTGTTCTTGAAAAAGAAATCTTTTAACTACAGTTTCAACATGTTATAAATGATTCCAACTTACAGGACCCACGTTTCAGCAAAATCCTTGACAACCTGCGGCTGCAGAAACGCGGCACAGGGGGAGTCGACACGGCTGCTACTGGTGATACCTTTGACATTTCCAACCTTGACCGTCTGGGCAAATCTGAGGTGAGGAGATTCTTTTGTTGCCCTTTGCACAATTTCTTTTTTCATGCTAATAAGCTCACATGCATCAGTTCTATATAACGCCCTGTCTGAGCTATTCTGTTGCTGTGTGCTTCTAGGTGGAGTTGGTCCAGTTGTTGGTTGACGGCGTCAACTACCTGATTGAGTGTGAGAAACGGCTGGAAAAAGGCCAGGATATCAAAATCCCATCTCCCATTGTTCAGTTTAGGAAATGAAAACTGAACTCCTCAGTTTCCTCGGTGACCTGATCAGTCCTCCCTCTCAAACTGAGCCTGCTAGAGCACCTGAGAGGGACTCCCATCAGCGAGGAGAAAGCATTCTCTTTAAGTTTCCAAGACAGAGTGCATTTCTTTAAGATAAATCATCTTAGACGTGTTCTTTAGAGGAAAACTCTACCTCAAGAAAATTGTAACCCCAAGTTCAATGAATAAACACTATACAACATTTTATTGCTTTCATTTTGTTTTTTGCTGTTGTTCTGTTTTTCACTTTGGCTGGGCAATAAAGTGTAGAAAGTGGTTCAGAATTCTTTCACTGAAGCACGGTCTGTTGTTTGTATGAAGATAATGTCAGTTTTGTAGTTATTAGATGGCAGTTTATTTTCCTATCATCATCAGCCACTTTATTAGGTAAACCATGCTGGTGCTGGGTTGGAAACCCTTTTGTCTTCAGAACTGTCTTAATTATTAGTGGCTGAGATTCAAAAAGGTGCTAGAAACATTCCTGAGATTTTGGTTCATACTGTCACGATAGCGTCAACCAGTTGCTGCAGATTTTCCAGTTGCACGTGATGGTTATAAAGGAATGGATATGGTCAGCAATAATACTCAGGTAGGCTAATAGTGCTCTGTTGGTACTTACGGGTCCAAAATGTACCAAGAAAATACCCTGCACACCATTTCACGACCACGATCATCCTGAAACATTGACACAGTATGGATCCATGCTTTTATGCTCATGCCGATTCTGACCCTACCATCTGAACATCACAGTAGAAATAAAGATTTTTCCTGTCCTCTGCTGGCCAATTTTGGTGAGCTTGTGCACATTGTAGCCTCAGTGTCCTCTTCTTAGCTGACAGGAGTGCCATCTGGTATGGTCTTCTAATTCTGTAGCCTATTAGCTTCAACGCTTAACATTCAAAGTTGGTGTCGCTGTAACAAGTAGTTATTTGAGCTACTGCCACCTTTCTAGTGGCTCAAAGTAGTCTGGTCCCTTTCCTCTGACCTCTAAAAATCTATAAGTTAACTGAATACGCTCTCCTTTCCTAACATTATCTAAACCGTAGAGATGGTTGCGCAGGAAAATCCCAGTAGATGTGCAGTTTTTGAAATCCTTAGATGAGCCCATCTATAGCATCAACAACCATGACATTATCAAAGTAATGTCAATCGCCTTTCTTTACCTCTCCAAAGCTGGACCCAGCTGTAAATCTGGTAAGGATTATGCCTAAAAATCCCACTACAGGAATAGGAAAGATCCTGCATATGCCTCTGTATTTCCTACTGGCTTCTCACATTTGTAAGCATCAGTAATTTTGTATCTTGTTTTTACATCAGTAATAATGGATCTTTAATGTAATGTTCACTGACAACATGCACTTTACAAAGGGGCCAACAGAGGTGGAAGAAGTTTAATAATATTTCTAAAGATACAAAAATGATTCAATGACTTGAATGTTGTTGCATTTTCAGAAGTTTCTTTGCTCCCGTGTGAATTTTGCATGAGCAACAAAGTTAAATTCTGCCACTGCCACGGGTGATTTTACAGATCACGGTGTATCCTATGGGGAAAACGACTGAAAGGAGTAGACGACAAATATAACCCACAGCATAAATGCCGTCAAGATTTGAAACAATGCTTAAAAATCTGTAAACAGGTGTGCATAAGCTAATGATTAATCTAAGAACACATTCAGCATTAAAGTAAGCAGAACAGCACTTTTCAGAGATTTCACTTTCGACGATGCCACCTCAGAAAATTTTATTTTTTCTAAAAAGGAAAGAAAAAAAAAAAAAATCTGTAGAAAGAAGTCAAAAACAACCAAAAGGTGACACTTTGAGGCCAGAGCCTGCCTGTGCACCAAAAAGTCCTGCTTTTCTTTTTGGCAAAGTGAAAGAGCAACACAAGCCTCTATTAAAGAGTGGTTGGACAGTGCTAAACAATGCAGGTTTGGAGAACAGGCCATCTCTGTGAAATAAGGGGATAAGAACAGAGAGTCAGGCTGGGTTCTTTGAACAGGAAACAAAAAGGAAGTCTAAGAGGCGGATCGTCAGTCCACAGGTCGCTTTTCACTGTGTTTCTTTGTGAACTCCTCTGCGTTCTTCATGAATTTCGCACGGTCTTTAGTGTACTCCTCTGCCAGGTCAGCCCTCAGTGGATGCTCTGGCTGAGGCATGTTCACCATTGCAACCAGACACTGAATCACTGGCAGACAGAGGGAATGAGAAAAGAACATTTGTGAGCATATTTGGTACTTTTTGGAACAGATATAAGAAAGCAATAATAAGATGTGGATGTCCATTTTCACCTTGGCAGGTTTTCGTGGCTGGCTTCCAGTTCTCCACACTGATGATGGGCAGGCAGACCTGGCCCTTTTCATCAATGTTGGGGTGGTAGATTTTTGTCTTGAAGGTTATCTTAGGTGGCTTGAAAGGATACTCTGCAGGGAAGATGATCTCAATCCGAAATGCTCCTTTGTCATATGGAGGACAGTCCTTGAAGAAAATAAGTATGTGTTAATTTCAGGAAAATCGAAATAATATTTAGTCAACAATAATTACATAATTTAATTAATAATGCTCTTTGACTTTAAGATGACTTGGTGGGGGTCATTTTTATGTGCGCTTTGATACTTTTAATAGTGAAAATTAAAAATGTTGCTAAAATGATTTCAGTGTTCTTCTCTAATAATGTTCTTCTTTTTTATACTTCGGAACATATTAAGGATGCCCCTCTCTACAGCATTAAACAGAACCGAAACTTGTGTCTGACACTTACCAAAACAGAAACCTTAAAAAAATAAAATAAGTGAACAAAAAACAAGTAAGCTGATAATGTACTGTTCACAACAGATATATATAGACTATATAAAACAATATTTTTCATACAAGTCAACCCAAATTTCTACCAAAATGTTCTTCTCGAACTTCACAATGTGTGATCTGAAATTTGAGCCATTAGAGAAACAAAAGTGGGAAAAATGTATAGTTACATAGGGTCAATACTTACAGGAACAATAAGCCCTTGCCAGTTCAAAATATTCGATTCATCCACTTGAATGATTCGGAAATTCTTTATTCCAGAATCGCGAATGTCTTGAATCTCCTGAAACGAAACATAATTGATTGAAATTTGGTGCAAAATTATGCAGTGACAGAACAGGAAGAACAAACAGACAAATGCGTGAATGTATAACGTAGAGTAATCAGCCACAACATCTCCAAACTGGATGCCAGAACCTACTAAAAGTGATCCAAGGAAGGAGAAATGGTGACTCGGCAGGTTCAGAAAGGGCAGTACTGGACCATGCTGTTTTAGCCCACAGAAAAACAGTCTTCAGCTGGCTAGGATAAAAATGTGTCAGCACACAAATTGCTGTGCATGACGCTGCACAAATGCAGACTGTCAGAACCTACAATGACCACATGAACAACACAGTGCTGACTTGGTCCCCAAATTTCCAAGATCTCAACCGAGACAAGCATTGTTGGGATGGGCACACACGGACACACACACACTGACTTAAGGTGTGTTCTTTTGGTGACATTAGGGTGAGCGCCACATTATGAGGTTGTGGTTTTAAACTTGTGGCTGATTGATGCCGATAAAACGTGAGGAAAAGTCAAGAAACCAGCTAAGAAATACAATCTGCTGGGTGTAGGTGATTCAGAGGAACTGTGTAATATGGCCCTGATGGACCGAGTCCCGTCAGACAGTAAGCAGTTACATCACTTCCTCCACAATGACTCATACCCGCTCATTCCTCGGTTCAGATTACTATTCACACAATGCATTTTTCCTTCCAGGCTGTTCACATAAATACTGCAAAAACAATTATGGTGTTTTAAATTTTATTAACATCGGACAATGATGGCCTGTGTGAGACCTTCACCTCCACTAATACAGTTCTGCATACTTACAAGGCAGCAGTCATAGATTCATACTAATTAACAATAAATAAATAAATTAATTTATTTATTTATTTAATTAAATAATGGGTTGCCAGACTGTGACCTTTGCAATGACATGTGTGTATGGCAAACAGACAGAGGTGGAGAACTCAGTTTTTTGCTATGAAGGCCTGTGATGTATGAAACACTCAAGGATTCATATAGACTAAGCTTTTTAACATAACCCTCAACAAATTAAAGAAAAAAAATTAAAAAACAAAAACCTGAAATAGCTTCAAACTTAAATGGGTATTGCATCTTTAAAATGTGCGTGTGCAGCACCACTGGCTGAGGACTAATGGTTCCATGATGGTTACTTTTAGTTATTTAAAAAAACAACAACAAAAAAACAAAAAGTGTTTAATTTGTGACTTGTTAACCTTGTTTGCGGTTGACTGATTTCAGGTATAAAGCAAAGCAGTTGCAGAGAATATCAAGGAGCAGCCTTGTGATAACAGTCACCTTCAACCACCACAACCAGCTGTTAGCTGAACACTAGCACTAGTTTTAAAAAAAAAAAAAAGTGTTACAAAACAAATCCATCTGGTTACTCAGATCAAATATTTTTCATTCATATGGTCAAAAAGTCTGCCAGTATAAATTTCAGAAGAACATATAGGTGAGATAGACAAACAGGAGGAAGGAACTAGTAAATGTTATCAAACCACTGAGGTCCTACAGTTGCAAGTGATTGGCAGAAAGTGACAGTCATAATATTTTATACCGATCAATTCAAGCTGTACATGCCCTACAGTCCCAGTCATTTCAGATAATTCTCTTGCAACAGTTTTAACTGAAAGCAAATAGTAGTTATTTTCTAATTCCCAATGGAATTTGGAATTTACGTGAACTGTAAAACTGAACTGTCAGGGGATTTCAGGAATTCGTGACAGCACACTTCACCATTTTCTTTTTGGTATGAGGAAATTACTAACATACAGCAAATCAAAACTAAAACGAGTCAGAACAAAAGAAAGTATGAACGCCTGGCCAGTCACTACACTGTTTACAACATTAGCATACAATTCATTTTTTTCTCTCTTTAAAAATAAAAATCTATGTCTACAATAGTCACATTTTTCTACTTACTCTTTTAACTTACAGGAACAATTCTTTCCAATTGTTACACTTAATTCTTCAAAATTTATTGACTACTCTATTTTATTGCTGAAAAACGCTAAATAAAGGCATTACTCCTTCTGTTTGTTTTATATTGCGTTTGTTTACATGCAAGTACATGACCAAGTCAAAATAACTTTGTATACTGTTTTGCAAATAACTAACTCTTAATCCCCTAAACAAGAGAATAATGTCATTCATATTTTTTTTTATTAAACGTTTATTAAACGTATACGGCTCAGATGAGAACTGACGTCACGTCCCAACCCCAAAGTCTCCATGTTTTCGCCTCCGCGGCTGCCTTTAGACGGCGAAAGCGGTTAAAACGAGCCGCTACAGTTTCTACCATGCTTGCCTATTAAACACCAGCTTGCTTTCCGACTTAAAGCCGTAGATGACAGTTTTATCTTAAAGCTTAATCACGCTCTGCTGGCATTTCAAATTAACAACTAAACCCCGAGTCACCGTCTATCGGCCGTCATTATCCTTTCGTTTTGTCAGACACTTGAGCGACAAACACCCGGACATTTTCTCTTTGCTCACGAATCTGTAGCTACACTCATAAAGTCGAAACCATTGTTTAAACCATGTCAAAGTTGCAGAAATCCAACAACTAAGATCTTTTTCTTACCCTAGTTAGTCTCCGAGCCGAAGTCATTGTGGTACCGATTCCGTCTTCTCCTTCTTCTTCCTTTTTCTTTCCGCTCTACCTCGACTTCTTTTCAGTTTGTTTTAAAACGGATGACGGGCGGGATTCTCTTGCGTTACCGCCCTCTTTGGGCCCGGAGGGTTACAGATTTTAACCAAATTTTTACCGCTTTGCTTTGGATATGTGTTCCTGTTTCCTTTTAGGTATCCCCATTTCTTTAAGACATCCTTTTAGAATAAAACTATTATATTTATCCATCTATTGTGGTAAGCTAGTCCAGTATTTAGTTCTGTTTATCTAATACATTCATTTAACCATGGCTCATTTAAAGGAGATGTGGAAAATCGATGCAAAAGCGTTATAAAAAAAAACAAGCACACATGAATTATTTTGAAATTAAAAGACAATTAAAGAAAAAAAAAATTCCCCCACATTTCACAGTGATTAAATGGTGAATGTCCTTTTATCAAAAAGTCTTTATGGATTTTTTTGAAAAGTGATTAAATTAAATTAAATTTTTTGTCACCTGTTTTGTCACCTTGCCTCTCTGCACTGAATCATTACTTGTTATTAATCTCTGCCTCTCTTCCACAACACGTCTTTTGTCCTGTTTTCCTCCCTTAACCATGAACCAGTTGTGGCAGATGGCCACCCCTCCCTGAGCCTGGTTCTGCTGGAGGTTTCTTCCTGTTAAAAGGGAGTTTTTTCTTCCCACTGTCACCACAGTTCTTGCTCATAGGGAGTCTTATGATTGTTGGGTAGGCAATATAAATTGCCTTGAGGCAACTGTTGCTGTAATTTGGTGCTGTATAAATAAAACTAAATTTAATTGAATTGACGATACAATGACATAATTATGAAAATGCAAGAAAAAGAATCACAGAGTCTAAGAACATCCTACTCTCACTAGCTATCAGAAATGTTCTAATTTACTCATAATTCTCTAAATTACAACCTTTTAAGTGTGACTCACAGTGAGGAGCAGTTTTCTTTTCAGTCGCATCTTATATCAGGTGACCTCAATTGTTCACATGTTAGGGTGGGTTAAGGGATCACACTGATTTCACCTGAAACCACAAGTGGTTTTTTCACACCTTATGTGATGAGTCACATGATTAATAGTGGGTCAACTAAGATTTAAATATCTGTGACTCTCCACTTTTTAGCCTTGGATGAGAGGTGAAATGTCTTCAACAAAATTAAAGAAGTCCAGCTGTTTCTTTTTAAGGTCCTAAGATTCCTCTGGGCAGAAATACCTTGTTGATGCTACAGGTCAAAAGAGACAGGCCAGGCTGCTTTGAGTTTACAGGACGGATACAAAAATACAAATAACAACTTGTTATAACATAGGTATGCAGCAGATGACTCTTATTGTTTCACAGTAAGATCCACCATTGCTTGTTGTTGATAACTGTGAACAAACTCATTCATGTCATCTATCACACATGACATGAAAGATGGCTATCGTGTTGCCATCTACTCATTTCTGAAGTCCCATTTTGAAACTTTGAGATGAGCCTTTCCAGCATCACAATCTCAGTATTAAAAAAAGAAGAGGAGATGGGAAATGGAATGGTTCTTATATAGCAAAATAATAAAATAATAAATTGCTATTACACAAAAGCACAAGGCAGCCCTTGTTCAACTTCCAATTTTTTAGTCTTTATTTTTTTAGAATAGAAAATTATATTTAAAAAATTAACAGAGAAATTTACAGTGATTACCTTTAAGAAACTCTAATGTTTCAGAACTTGCCTGAGAAAGATTTTGTCAAGTTTTTTTTTTTTTTTTAATTTCTCTTTTGTATGTAGCTCCCAGGAAGAACAAGTTTACTCACCACCACTTCTGCGCTGGTGAGTAAACTTGTATGCCAGCCACACAGCCTAAGCATATCCTGTGACCTCCCGACAGTCTGCATGTTCAAGATGGCCGCTTAAGTGGAGAATTTACACCTCTCCAGTAAAACTAATCCAGCAGCTAGTTGGCCGAACGACTTTTACCGTGGAATTACCCTAAGATACCAGCAACGTTTTCTTATGCGTTACATCTGAAGAGATAATAATTGTTGAGGTTCGACACATGGAGTAAAACATACTGGTAAGAAATTCGTTAACCCCCCCCCCTCCCTCCATAGTTTGGTAGCCACATTAGCCAGCTAGCCTGTTCAGTAACAACTAACAAGCTAATTTTTAGCAACACCTGGCGTAATCGTGCTAATTTCAGTAGACGTACAACAGGCAGTCCAAAGGTGGCTCACCTTTAAACAGTTAGCCAGAGTTAGCTGTAAAAATAGGACTCTGGCTAACTGCTAAGTGGGGTTGTTAATGTGAAATGTAAGTGCTAATGTTACCTGCTAACGTTTCATATATGATGGGTTTGCTAGTTTTGTTTACCTTACTCGCTCTTATACTGCCTTTTTGGTTTGTGAAACTGTTTTAAATGAGAGCAAGAAAAATGTATGTAGTATGTGTTGTTTACGCCACAACCGATATTTGTAACTTCAGCTCTAAACAGCCATAGTGAATGTGTTTGTACTTCTCGTTTCATATTATTTGTCATTGCATTTTGCCAGTCTCATAAGCAATGAGCAGCAGAACGACATTAATTTTAAATGACAGAATACTTATCAAACCTCAGTTCAGAGGGTTGTTGAGACTTCATCCTTCCCTTAAATATTAAACCTTGTTGGAAAGAAAAGATAGTTACTGAATGACAGCAGCAAAAAGAGGCTCTCTAAGTAAGACCGGAAAAAGAAGTTCTTCCCACTTTGTGGGAAGCTTAGTGGAGTGAAATAATTTTTTTCTTTTTTTCTAGCGTTCCAAACGTCAGCTTGTTACTGTAATTACTAGAAAAACATTTACTGAGAAAAAGCTGGTGGAATTCCTTAATTAAACCACGTGTTCAGAAAGCTCCAACGTGAAGAAAAGTGAAATTAGTATCTGCTCCTATCCACCACTGTTTAGTGAAACATCTTCAGCAAAACTACAGAAGATAAAATAAGATATTGAGACTATTAGCTTAGTCTGACAATGTTTAAAGCAAGCCATCCCTAGGGCTGGTTGGTTTGGACACTGAATTATTATAAACATTAATTATTTTTGTACCATCATCAGGTCTGTTTTCTGCGACAGGAAAGGTTGCATAAAAGCACAGGGCTAAGCATAGTTCTGAGAATGTTGATATGTTTGATTTTCTTCATTGCAGCCACCACATACTCATTTAAAAAGCTTACAGAAACACTCACTGATTTACTAGCATAGTTAAACGTACAGAGGCACATACACAAGAACACACACCTAATCTACCTCACAGAAGATACAGTACTTACAGACCTATTTTCAAACATATAATATAGGGTATATAAATACAGTGAACACGTTTAACTCTTTGGCAGATGTTGTATGAAGTAAAATTATTAAAAGCATTGCTATTTCTAAAAGGGAAACCAATGAGTAGTTCATTTTGAAAGACCAGTATTTTTTCTCTTTTAAGTATTTGTTATTATTTCTTGTCCAATTACTTGGTTAATCAATGGCATAGTCAATTAGTGAAACAATCAATAGCTGCATCCCTATTTATTTCCTTTTCTCTGTTCATGGACCTTTAATTTGAGAACTATGTAGTGATAAGCTTTATGAGTTAAGTTGAGACATTGAAGTTGTGGGAACTACATTCTAGTACCAGTCTGTACCTTAGCACTACTGTGAATCATTCATACACGTATCCTTCTTGTGGTGTTCCTGTTAAGTTACCCGAGGATTGTATATCACCTAGTTCTCCTTTCATTTATCGCTTCCGTCTGGTAAAAGTACAGCTGAACTACTACTACTTCTACTACTACTCTTCAGCTATAGACTATTGCGCTACACAAACGAGACATAGTTGTCATTAAGTAGTGTAAAAACCCACAAATCACAGTGAGTAATAGTTGAGTGACATCAGAACTCACATGGTTCATATCATGTGATGGCTGTGAAACTGGTTTGTGTGAGGGTGACAATTCATAGTTGATACGGGTTTGTATACACTCTCAGCTTTTTGAATTCATGTTGGACTAAATTCTAAGTAAGATGGAGGCTTGCTCTGAAAACAATGACTTGTTGTACTAAGGCTTGGCGATTGGATGAATATATCAGCTATCGATGATAGGCTTTTTGCTGATTGTTTTTACAAGAGCGATTTATTTATTTGACCATGAATAAGTTTGCTAATAATGTTGGTTGAAGCTAAGAGTCAACAGAAAAAATAATAGCACTGTTTTAACAGCACCCTCTTCCAGCTTCCAGCAAATGCACCCTCCTCACAGTGCGCACAAATGCAGCGATTCAGTTACTCCAACTTATAACAGAAAGAAAGAAAGGCAGTAGCCTATGTTCAGAAAAGGAACCCCCACATTTTATTTAAATTAAAAACTCCACAATGCTGGGGAGGGAAACAAAGAGAAATTGGCTTCTTTTTTCCATCAATGGTTACAGGCTGTTCCAGTGTTTATCTGTCTTACACACTTCACCAAACAAAAAATACAAAATTAAACAAAAAGTTAAAAATCTCCGATAAAATGGTAAGTCTTTTGCCAATTTGGCGCATCTCAAGAAAATAAATAAATACATTAATTAATTCATAATCTAAAAAGTAGCTATATTAATACTGAAACAAACAAGAAAAGAAAGTAAAATATTTCCTCCAAACAAAACTTTCTAAATGTGCAAATAAGTTCATGGATGATTGCTCTGCCCATCAAAAAGTCTGTGCCTGCGTGAATATATTGCCTAACGTCGGTTGGAAAATTTTTACATATCTCCCAACCTTATTTTGTTCATAATACAAGATAATTTGGTACAAGATTCAATGATGTACTAATTGATATTAAGATTAATGTCTTTGTCACCAGTGCTGTCTTTACTTCCTCCAGCTGACACTCAGCTCTACACAGTAATGCCCCATCTCCTCAGTAGTTTGCATTAGGGCTGGGCCATATCATACCGTTCACGGTAATACCGGTATAATGTTGAGCAACGATAAGAAAATGAAATATCACTAGGGCTGCTCAATTAATCGAATTTTAATCACGATTACGATCTGGGCTATACTGGTCATGTT